TCTGGCAGCAGTCTATAGCTACTGGGTCCATGAGGAAAAGATGACTACCATCAAGAGGATACTACAGATGAAAAGGCTCACAAAGTTAAAGCAATGTCCTGGCTTGCCAGAACATATGGACATTGAATTTCTCAGAGTACAGCTTCAGGTGAAAGTGAAATGCCTGTTCTGGCAATGCTACAAAATGTTTTAGTTTTAGTGTCAACCTCTGGGACAGTATAATAGGAATTATAGCTAATTATTTAATGGTTTAAGAATTTTTCAATGTATGTTTATGAGTCTTTTATATTTTAAGCATTTCTTCTGTGATAGAAGGGGAAAAAAACAACAATCCTGTCTATATTTGATCTGTTAACTGAGTAACTTTCTAGATAGGAGCCTGTTAATGCTTTTTTAGAAGAATTTTTCTTCACATATTCAGAGTTTGTATTTGTTGATAATTTCAAGTTCACAATTTAAAAATAAAATAAAATTGTTACATATGGACCCACTCTGCTAATGGTACCCAGACTATCTAACTCAATAGACCTGAACAGACCTTTGCCTGTGGTGACTTCTGTCCCTTCCCCTCAGAGTAGGAGAATGCTGATAAATCTTTAACAACTAGCTGTTTAGGAAAAAGAACGTATGCATAACACACTTTTAATCTGCATTATTAATATTCTCATTATTTTAAGTCTAAACAATCAGCAAAATACACAATGCAAGACCTGATTTGCAACATGTCAATTCCTGAGGCATAAATGCTTATGCTGAAAATTTAATATTCTGCTCTTCAAGCTGTCTCCAAGTACACCACTGCCTCAAAGTTTCCCCTCAAACCCACTCAAAACTCTCAACATAGGCAGAGCATTACAGTTGCCCTATACAAAGATAAAAAGATTGCATAAAGGCTCTAATGCAGCACTGCTATAGTACAACACTCAACTATGATTATTGGTGTCTGCTAAATCCAACAGAGCAAGCTTTCCAAAATATTTCCCTTTCAATGAACTGTTTAAAAAAAAAACTCATTGAATGTACTTAACTGTGCTTCTAGTATAAAAAATATGACAAAATATAGGTAAAATTTTAACATGTAGGTTATGTTTTCATATTTCATGAAAAAATTTATTCTGAAGATGCTTAAAAATAACCTAACATTATAAAACATGAAATTCAAGGAGTTTAAAATATAAAAAGCACCTTCAGTATAACAATTTCATGAAGTCCAAACTACTGCAGTAACAAGAAACGAAGGCTAACAAAAATGACATGCAAAAATATGGAGATAACAGGCTAAAACAAAATGCTTTAAAAAACTAATTCTATTGAAAATTTCTATAATCAAATACATTTTTAAAATAATAAAATTTATTAGTTAAGCCTTTAAAGGCAGCTTATCTTACATTGCAGTCTGTTCAAATTAGAGATAACTTATAAGAAAAACTGTTGATACTATCTAATATTTGGGAAATACAAAGAAAATAGTTTCAGTGACTACTACTGCCTTGAGTACACTTCTTTACAAGGGTAGTGGGTTTTTTTTCTTTTTTGATGTGGAGAGGAGATTAAGGAGTAAAAGGTACAATGCCCAAAAAAGAAGAAAAAAAGTCATAAAAGCATTTTTTTGAATGCTCAAAGGAGAGAGTTCAGAAATAAAAACAGACCAGCAGGATATCTTTGAAAATATTATGTTGAATTTATTATATAGTCAGTATATATACTTTGAAAAAGCTGTTCATAATATCTGCAACTTCACATAGCCTCTTTTTCTATATATTTTTCTTCACATATGGAAATGTTCTGTGTGTGTGTGTGTGAAGTTCAAAATAGAAAATAATTTTTAGAAGTGATTTACCTAAAATGTAACTGACTATATCACTCCTTTAAGAATAAACTCCAATGGTTCCCTAATTTCTCTAAAACCAAATATAAGCTCTTCCCTTTAGATTTTCAAGTCCCTCACAACTTGAATACAAGTTACCCTTCTTGTCTTAATAGACACTGGTGCCCTTTCCATACTCTATGATTCATCCAAATTGAAACAATGAAAAAGTTTTTACAACTCTCTGTCAAACACTGTGCTAAGCACAGATGCTTGGAGATGCAAAGAGAAAAAAGTCATTCCTTGCTCACAAAGAGCTCACACTATAATTTATGAGATAGTATAACACACCTTTTAGAATCCTGTTTGCTTCAAGATGCGAGAACTGTTAAAGCAACTAGTTCTACAAGTGTTCAAGCACTTGTTGTGCTTCCTGATCTCCCTCTATACCACCACCACCAAAAAATTCTGTGTGTATGTGTGTATAACCTTATTTCAGCTATGACATTTCTGGATGTTTTTTTCCTCTGGTTTTTTTTGTTTTTGTTTTTGGGTTGGTTTTTTTTGTTTGTTTTTTTGGTGAGGCAATCGGGGCTAAGTGACTTGCCCAGGATCACACAGTTAGTAAGTGTCATGTGTCTGAGATTGGATTTGAACTCCTGACTCTATCCACTGTGCCACCTAGCTGCCCCCTTTTCCTCTGGTTTTAACATATACCTCTGGTTCTAATTTATCCGAGCAATGTTCCTGATATTCAGGTTTTTCACCTGGTCACAGTTTTTAATTAGTCCAATGATTCTAAAATTATCTCTCTGACTTGTTTTCCATATCAATCATTTTTTACAGTAGATAGCTTGTATTTTCTTCTGTTTCATCAATCTTTTGACTTCTTGTCTCTTGGAGTTCTTTAGTTCTGATTATTTCAATCTATCTTTAAGGAAATCTGCTACTTGCATAATTTTTCCTACATTCCAATTGTTTCATCCAAAATTTTTATTTCAATTCTAATTTCATGTTTTATCTCTTGCTTCATTTCATCCAACTCCTATTTTATATACTTTCTATCAGAGCCCCTTTTTGCTCTGAAGCTTTGTTTGTATTTGTTATGGAATTATGTTTTCTTCTAAGCTTGTCTCTTGGGAGTTCTATAGTTCTTACAACTTCATTGTATTTGGTGTTTTCTTCTACTTACTCATATTTTAGACTCAGTACATAGGTTGGGACTCTGCGCCAGAGCTGGCCCTGTTGCCTCTAGCACTGTTGGTTGATTTAGCTATTTGATCTGGTCCCCATTATAGTGCAGATGCTGCTGCCACTCTGGATGGGGTAGATCAAATGGCTAAATGCCCCTTTTCTTCCTCAATCACTGAATCCCAACATATCTCAGTTTCATGGTGGATTTCTGCTCATCTCTGTCACCTTCCATAATCAGAAGTTGGTTTTATCCCCTGCCGTAGCTCTGAAAGATTGATACTGATGTGGGAAACTATGCTGGTCTCTCCTGCAAGGCCCTCAGATACAGGTTCCCAAACACTGATTTAGGCAACTCCTGCAGTAGGTCTCCTCTGGAGCAGTTGGATGGTATAGTGGATAGAGTGCCAGGCCTGGAGTCAGGAAGACCTGAGTTCAAATCCAGCTACTAACTGTGTGACCCCGGGCAAATCACTTAACCCTGTTTGCCTCAGTTTCCTCATCTTAAAATGAGCTGGAGAAAGAAATGTCAAACCACTACAGTATCCTTGCCAAGAAAACCACAAATGAGGGCATGAAGGGTTGGACGTGACTGAAAAACAACAGCAGCAGCTCTCAATGATCTGTAGAGTATACAGACAAACTTGATCTCCTTGTACAGTGACCTAGAAAGTCTTCTGTTTTGCCAAGAAAGCACTAGGATCTGGCTTCAGTCCATGATTACTAGATAGCAAAATGGCTTGCAAGTCACCCCAATCTCCCACCCCACAAGCATCCTTATTTGGAATGCCTAATGTCATCAGGTCCACTTACCAGAGTTTGCACTGCTTTCTCTGGCACAATTTTTCTCTCATCCTCCTGTTCTGGCCCTGACTTTATATAGTTCCATATAGTTCAAAACTATACCCTCTTAAATACTGAATCATCTTGGAATTCCCCTCAGGTCTTGGCACCTCCTTGCCCTGGAAGAGGCTACCACCCTGGAATATTCCTCTGCATGGCCCATCCCCTACATCTCAATGGCTGAGTTCTTCCTGTTCGTAAAGGGGCCCAAACCAGCCTGCCTTCATTTTCCTCCTTACCCTGTTTCTGACTTTCTGGATTTTAAAACCATTCCCAGTGTTAGATACTTTCTTCCTCTCCCCATTCTTCTTTTCTCTCACTTCCCCAATCCCTCAATTGCTCAATTTCAGCTCTCTTGTGTGTGATGTTATTTTCCAATGTAATATAAGCTACTTAAGGCCAAGGAATATATTTCTTTTTGCTCATATTTGTATCTCCAGCACTTAGCAGAGTGCCTACCACTTTGATTATTTCTTTCCTTCCTTCTCATCACCCTTAAGCTTCATTCTCAATTTACTGAATCTTAACACTGTCTTCTATGGTTCAACCTATCTCCCAGCCATGGCCAGCTTCTGACCATCTCTTTGTTCAGATAGTTTTTAATTAGCCTTACATAGCTCACCATAGTAACATATGTAAGTAAGCACTTAATAAATTGTCAAATTTATTTATTAAATTTATTAAATCAAATTTATTAAAACAAATCAATTTTATCAATATTATTAATTTATTGTTATATTATTATTAATATTATTAATTTAATTTATTAAATTTATTAAATCAAATTTATTTAAACATAATAGGTACTTCATAAATAATTGCTGATTAACTGGTTAGTAAATAAATGAAGGCGGTATTATGCAATGAAAAGAACACTTGATTTAGGGTCAAAAGAGCCGAGTTTAAATTCTGACTTTGTTCCATGGTACTTGTATGATTTTGAATAAATTAACTTATTCTTTCTGGACCTCAATTTCCTTATGTGTAAAATGAGAGGGTTGAACTACAGGGCCTCCAGGGCCTCTTCCAATTCTAAATGTACGATCTTATGATGCTACAAATTAGTCTTAAAATAAGTATTTTAAATCCATACATGCTGCTTTTGTAAAAGAGGTAAGAAACGCATTACTTTTAAAATCACTTAATGAACAGTACTTACTAAAATCTCCAGTAAGAAAAACTCCTTCTGCACCTGGAGCCCATTCCTTACAGTACAAACCACCATCAGCACATCGATGGACTCCAAATGTTTCATAGCTTTTGGAGAATTTATCAATGCCACCTTCACGTTCTTCAATATTTTTCAAAGTCTGGGTGAAGAGCTTATACCTTTGAAAAGAAAGATTAAAAAAAAAAAATCAGCCACAGTAATATTACTAAATATTCTTCAAGAAAAAGTAGGGAAAAATAAAAGAAACACATTATTTTTTGTTAGCATGCTTCATTGGTACACATCTACCTTACTACATCCCCTTACTCAGATCAAAAAATAACCAGACTTGAATCATAGTAACTAAGTTCTGTGGGTAGAATTGACCATCATTGAAAGTTTAAATTTCAATTTAAACTGCATTAAAATAATCAGGATATTTAAGTGATCAGGCATTTTAATGGGGCAAAAGCAGTGTGATAAAAATATTATCGTTATGCAGGGAATCATTTTTGGACAGTATCATTAAACAACATTTACATTTGGTAAAGAGTCATATAAAATTGTAAAATATTTACAAAATTTAAGTGGTTTGAAAAAGTTATGTCTATTTTATTCAAATATAGGTTCTCTGAAAGAAATATAGGTTCTCAGCTTTGTTTGGCAGGGATACACTCTAAAATCCTTAATCTATTATTTTCGCTTTCTAGTTTCATTTAACTACCTATATGTTTATATTCATATCCAATAAAATAATCAAACATTATAATAAATTTAACACAAACGCATTCTATTGAAGGGTGAAAACAATACAATGGCATTCTCCAAAGATGCTACTGAATTTTATTAAAGTGATATACTTTAGCAGAGCCATTTATACAAAGGCACTATCAGTCACGATAATTTGAACACCATACACTTAAAAATAAACTCAACATTCTCAGATTTTTCTGACTTACATTTGTTTTTTTTTATAAGGTAGGGTCAAATATTCTATTTATTAAGAATCCAATAAAAATAGAATTACAGTACTTTTAAAATATTAATTTGAATGTATATATACTATCCTCGCAAGGTTAGTAATGCCAACAGTTTGTACTACAGAAATATATATTCCACTCTGAAATCCCCATGGTTCAAAAAGAAAAGACCTGAATATATTTCTAACTCAATTTTGCCTTGCCCTCTTCTAATCATAATTATTCCTAATATTTGTTCATAAATGGTATAGTAAATTTCTAAACTGTGTTAAGATCTCTATAATCTAGAGCACCAAAAATTTAAATAACTAATTCAACAGTAAAGGAGATTTTATTTTCTCTTCAGAGAAAATAAAGAAAATTTTCTTTATTTCCCTATTTCTTTACCTTTTTGTACAACAAATATGTAACAGTACTTTTAATATATACTACAAATTTTGGGTTAACTTCTTAAAAGTAGAGTAGATAACAATATTATATGTAATGACTGTCTGGTTTCAATGATTAAATAAACTTCCTGACTGTAGAGAAGAGGTGGACCATTGGTACGGAATACTTCATAGGAGGTATCCTCTAGCAGCCCACTTTCTTGTGTTTCAGAGCAACTCTGGGTGGGCAGGTGTCCACCAGTGGACAGATCTCATATGCTTCAGTGCAGCCCCAGGTAAACACAGAAAAACCCCACCTGGCCCAGAAGATGTGGGAAGATTGGAACATTTGGTGGAGTTGTGAATTGATCCAACCATTCTTGGAATTATGCCCAAAGGACTAAAAAGCTGTTTATACCCTTTGATCTAGCAATAGCACGTCTAGGGCTGTATCCCAAAGAGATCATAAAAATGAGAAAAGGACCACATATACAAAAATATTTATAGCAGCTCTTTTTGTGGCAGCCAAGAATTGGAAATTGCGGGGATCCCCATTAATTGGGGAATGGCTGAACAAGTTGTGGTATATGATTGTAATGAAATACTATTGTTCCATAAAAAATGATGAGCAGGTTTTTCAGAAAAACCAGGAAAGACTTCCATGAATTGATGCTGAATGAAGTGAGCAGAACTAGGAAAACATTGTACACAATAACAGCAACATTGTACAATGACCAACACTGATAGATAGACTTAGCTCTTCTTAGCAATGCAATGAACTAAGACAATTCCAAAAGACTCATGGATGGAAAATGGAATCCACATCCAGAGAAAGAACTATAGAGTCTGAATGCAGATTGAAGCATACTATTTTCTCTCTCTTTTTCTTTGTTTTTGTTTTTTTTTCTCATGGCCTTTCCCTTTGGTTCTAATTCTTCTTTACAACATGACTAATGTTGAAATATGTTTAACATGATTGTACATGTATAGCCTATATCAGATTATACACTGTCTTGGGGAGGAGAAGGGAAAGAAGAGGGAGAGAATTTTAAAAAGTGAATATTGAAAACAAAACTAATTAAAAATAAACAAATGTTTGAAAAAAAAGAATACTTCATAAACTATAAGATATTGTTCCTGTGACGGTTTATTTTGACTAATTACTTATTTTCTTCTGATTACAAAGTAGGATTCTATGGGAGAGAGGGGGAAATGTCAGTGGCATAAAAACAATAAAGATTCAATAAAATAAAAATGAATAAGTGTCAACTTAGACTTTAAATGCAGTCAACAACATTTTTTCAGGGGAGTAAATCCCACCATTTTCGCTATCTAATTTAAAAGTAACTTAAATCAAGTTAATTTTATAAGAATTAAAATAATCACAAGAAAAAAATCCCAATAACTTTATGTGATTCTATAGAATAGCTTTTAGATTAGCACATGTTGTGTGGTTTATTTCTAATTCCTCCTCCTAGGATATCTAAATTACCATAGAGAAAAGCTTGAAAATAAGGTAAATGAAGATAATGAATAATATTACCTTATTAACTTAAATGACCTAATTAGGTGTTTTGTTTAAAAAAACAAAAACAAAAACAAAAAAATTGGACCCAGAAACCAAGTACTAGGATTTTAAATAATTTATAAATGAAAGATGTCTTACAAACTATATATCAAAACCAATAATATTGATTGTCATTATGGAGGTTTGAAGTCCAGTTTTCCAAACTGTTATTAGAATGAGAATTATTGGTTCTTTTTAATTTCTGAGTATTTGATAAAGAAACTGAAGTAGAAGTTAAAATGACACAGCTGCTAAATGTAGGCTGGAATTCAACTCAAGTCTTCTTATCTCTACATCCAGCATTCTTATCAACTGTTCCACTGAGCTACCATGCCATAATTTGTTCATCCATTTCCTAACTTATGGACACATACTTAGTTTCTAGTTTCTGCTACAACAAAAAGTGCCTCTATGAATATTTTTATACATGGAGTTGTTGCTATCACAGCCCTCTTGGAGTATATGCCTAATAGAAATATCACTAGGTCAAATGGTATGTACTGTTTAGCAACTGAGATAGTTTCAAATTACTTTCCTAGATGATGAGACAAATTCACAAAGACAAAGTCTGTTCTCCAACAGCTCTTAGAACAACTGTTATTTCCCACTTCTATCATCTTTGTCAATTTGTTGCAAGGTAGAACATTGGAGGTGTTTAATCTGTATTTCTCTAATTATTAGCAATGGAGCATTTTTTCATATGGTTTTCGATAGATTAAATTTCTTTCTTTGAGATTTGAATGTTTGCATCCTATTACCATTTATCTACTGGGGAATAGCTCTTAATCTTATATATTTTCCTTACATATCCTGAATGAGACTACTATCAGAGAAACCTGTTCCAAAGATTTTTCCGCAGTTACCTGATTCCTTACTAATTCTAAGTACATTAATTTCAATTTTAAAATTTAATTTTACGTAATCAATTGTCCATTTTGTATCCTATAATTCTACTTTGGTAATCAAGTCTTCCCCAATTAACAGCTGTAAAAAGTATTTCCTTCTCTATTCCTCTAAATTATTTATGAAATGATCCTTTATATCTAGGTCAGGTATCAATTTAGAGTTGATAGTTGGATGTGGTTTGAAATGTTGATCAAAACCTAATCAATTCCACACAGCTTTCCAGTTTTCCCAACAGTTATTTTTAAATACAGAGTAGTTATTTGTAGGTAAAGTCTCTGAGTTTACAAAACACGTAGTGTATTTCTAGATTTTTTTTGTACCTAATCTCCTTCCCTGATCAACTTTTTCTATTTTTTTTTTTTAGCCAGTAAACAATGCATTTGATGATTATTCTTTTGCAGTATATTTTGAGATTGGGTACTGCAAGATTCCCTTCTTTCTCACTTTTTTTCCCATTATTTTCCTTGAGATTTCTGACCTTTTGTTTCTCTTTTTTGTTTGTTTTCTGCCTCTATTAAGAAACCCATTAATATGGCACTGAGTAACTAAATTAATTTAAGTGGTATTGTTATTTATATTGTATTTTCATACCCCTAACCATAAGAAAGGAAATGCAATACCATCTGTGTATGGGAATAGAGGAGAGAGGCAGGGGAGGAGTTGTGCAGCACTCCACTAAGCCTGAGGGAAAGAACACAGCATTCAGCTTGGGACAGTTTTGACTATCCAAAAGTCAGTTGGGGCAATGACCTACGTAAGTAATCCATGAACTGCCCAGAGTGGGAGAAAGTTAAGCACTTCGAGATCCAACCTCCAAGGAAACCACACTCAGAAGGGAGGAAGTCAGGTAGTGAGTGATTAGGAAAATACGAGGGGGTAAAAAAAGACTACAAATACAAAAGACTTCTTCAGGAAGAAGAAATCTCAAAGACCCTGAACATATAAATCAACAGGAAAAACAGTAACAACAGTAAATAGATTCAGCCTCTGTGAATAAGTACTGTTCAAAAGTTCATGAGACATGTGGAATTTGAGGAGAATATGGAACCACACGCCACTGTTCCAAAGTAGTTTAAAAGAGAAATGAGAACAGAATCTATGTCCTATATAGCAAAAATAATAAGCAGAATAGGAAAGGCCTCTAACTTTTCTTCATCACACATAATTGTGATTCTTCATTGTGGACTGATATTATTTGCCACATTAAGTTAAATTCCATTTAGTCCTGTGCTTTTAAAAAAAAGTTTTTAATAGAAATGAGTGTTGTATCTATTGAAATAATCATGTGGCCTTTTTGTTTTGTTATTAACATGGTACTCGATTGTCTTTTTGGACAATACATTTTTTCCCCCTGAAGC